AAAAGTGTATGAAGAAGAGTTTCGCAGGTTTACCTCACAATAGGTTGACGGCTGATTGCCGTTGTATTGCAGCCGTTTGGATTTAACACGACGTTCAATTTGACGCAGTCCACTAGACAGCCTTCCTCGTTTATGGTGGAAAGGGACTGAGCTTTCGTCCATCATATGATGTACATCATCAGAGCTGAAACTAATTCTTTTTAAAGTCTCACGTTAACACTAGGTTTAACAACCGAAGGAAATGAGTCTTCTTGGCGTTGGGTTGACGTGAAACTTTTACAAGAATGAGTCCCAGCTCTGTTGATGTTCATCATATGATGAACGTAAACTCATCCAGTTTTCGCCCAGAGAATGTCTCGTAGACCGCGCCGAACTAAACGTCGTAATAAAGCCGTTCGTTCGGCTGCAGTTTAGCGGAAAACAGTGGTTCTCTTGGTGTAGGATCAACTTACGAGTCTCTTCTTCATGCACTTTCATACGAACAGAAGTCTCCCCAACGCTATAATTTTTGTTACAACAAGACGCTGTTGTAGAGGCGTGGAGAGTAGAACGCGATAAGCTACACAGCAGAAAACGTTTCTTGTGCCCAGATTAATGGTGTCTTGGGGAAATCAGTTAACTCAGACGTTTTTCCCTAGCGATGTGTAAAGGTCGGCTTCTGCTTGGCGTCGGACGGTTGATCCAGTTTTGCGAGAGGGCAAACTCAGCAGTGGTGGGCTAAGGCTTGATTGGTCGGGGGTAGGAGTGAGATGTGTTCCTGAGGCTGCCAACATGTACAGGGATACAGAGTTGGGCTGGGTCGCTACACTTTAAATGACTTTGGGGGCTTCTTTGGGACCTTTCATGAAGAGAAAGTTCAGCTTGCTGTACTCACAGCAACCAATGTTCCACCCTCATCCACCTCCTCTACTGCTTGTTTTACTTTAACTATTCAACTCCTTTGTGTGGTTTACCTACACAGTTTTTGAATAAGCAGACTAATCCACGTGAACCTTCTTGTCTGCAATGCCAGTAAGTGGGTTTCTCAGTAATTATATCATTTGTGGTTGCTTTGTGGTTTTATATTTCTTGGGGGGAGGGATTAACCGTTGAGTCTCTTCATTCATAACTTCGGGACGAAAGCAAAGCCGAGGCAAATGAACTGTGAGAACTGAACCGGTGCAGAGGATCGGGGTGAGAAGAATTGTATCCACACCCGTGAATGGATACATGAGAACAATATCTGCAGTAGAGCAAAAAGAGCGCCAACTCCAACGTGATCATAATGATTTAAGCAAACATATTTAACAGAATAACAAATAAGGAATTCTAATTCTAAAATGTTCATGGCTGTAATAAATCGGGCTCACATTCACACATGCAGAATACAGCCCCCGGAAGCTCACGCTCTGGGACAGAGTACCAGAACGAAATACAAGAGCTGTAATTTCGACCTGAGGACAATGAAGGCAGATCCTTGTTTCATAACCTGTTCATCTTCAGTCTGAGACTTGCCTGAAGATGTCTTCGAACCGGCAGCGTCCTTCAGCGCATGCAGACCCTGGGAGCCAGGCAACAGGAGCTGAGCAGCTAGTGAAAAGTGGAGTGTGGAGGCCGGACGGAAGTCCGCAAGGTCGGGCCGAGGGGTCGTCGGGAGCCGCGGGGAAGTCCAGGCAGGACTTCTGAAAGGGAAGAATATTTGCGTTTCCGAGAATCATTTGGTCTAAAATTGTGGGAATCACTTCCGTTTC